GAGTATTCAGCCTTGACTTCACACCTACGCATTATCAGCTTGTAATCTATCCCGAACAGCGCAAGAACTCCTCCTTCCAGGTCCTACCCTCTGGCACATGCATTCCTTCACTAGCACTGTACGCCGACGAGATGAAAGGCACGACGGATGTTCCAGGAGCAGAAGACACCTGACGAATACTTGCAGGTTACAACACACGAGCCTTACTATGATTCTTGATTTGAGGGTAGAAGTCAATCCTACCAATGGATCTCGTAAACAGCAATGGTTGAACCACCACTTCGACCCTACCCTCTCTGATATAACCCCGTTCGCTATCCCATATCGCGCCAAACATCCAACCCAGAATCGAATGCTACCCGGAGAGAAAACGAGATAAGCACCTAGACAAACACCAACCCTACCTCCCCCAATAAACCCCTCCTCTCCCCTCCATCAGCCCCCCGCCCGGACACCTACTTCCCCCCCTCCCCATTAATCCTCCTCCAAACCTCGCTCTCAGCAGCGGACAACTTCTCTCCAGCCGCCTTGGCAAACTTCATCGCTGACCCCAAAATCCCTTCCTCGTCGTCCTCTTCCTCACCGTTGCCGCCGCCACCCCACTGATACCCCGAGCCCGAAGCGGAGACATTCTGTTGATACCCCGCCGGACCCGAAACCGAGCCTACGACTAACCCCGGATATCCTTGGCTAGCACCACCACCACCAGCAGCACCCCAAGGCCCCGCCACACCAGTACCTGTCGCTGCTGCCGTCCCGAAATTTGATGCCATTGCTGTGGACGTCCCGCGCTGGTTATACCCCCCCGCCTGCGGCGGCGGGATGGCCATCTGCGGCGGTGGTGGCGGGTAGCTCACGCCGCCGGCTGTCAAGGCCGGGGCTGCGGTCGGTGCTGGCGGGGCGGGGCCTCCTCCATCACCGGCACCTGTGCTTCCTGCAAACGCGCCGGCTCGAGGCGGCGGGGGCAGGGAGGAGGACGGTGCCGTCGAAGTTCCGGTAGCTTCGGGGAGGCGGGGGACGGCACCTGGTTGTGGGGGAGGCGGGCGCTGTTGAGGGGGAATTGTTCGGGTTGGGGTGGGGTTGTTGGGAGAGGGTTGGTATGCTGTGGTGGTGGTTGTTGTTGTTGTTGTTGTTGAGGTTGGGTGGGCTGGGGGGTTGGCCGGGTTTGAGTCTGCTGCTGCTGCTAGGGCGGCAGTTTCGGGGGTGATGCCCGAGGCTTTGGCGGCGTTGATGGGGGATTTGGTGTAGACTTGGATGGGAGGCATTGTGAGGGGTGTGGAATGCGGACTCTGCGTGTCTTGGGTGAGAATGATGAGTTCGGGGAAATGGTGAGGCGCAAGTGTGGTGGCTCAGTAAGGAAAGTCTGGCGAGTGATGAGATTCAGCGTGTTTCTCAGAGTCGGATGTGCCAACACTTGTGTTCTTTTGAGATAGAACGGGAGGTGTTAGGTGGCCGTTTGCCTGCCACCAGTGGATGGCATGTGGTGTAAGTGGCGACGTCATTTGGCAGGTGGCCGAGCTTCTGCCAGCTGCAATCATTGTCCCCCGGGCATTCATCCCATGTTTTCCTTCACAGAGACCCGGTAGATTTAACAAAAAAGTAGTTTAATACCGGCAGTGAGTACAAGACGATTTGGGCCTCTATCTGGTATTCTTTGCCTCGTTTCTTGACCAGAATGCCAAACAGGTTGTTGCTTGACTGAGACGTGTGAACATGCCAAGGACCTGCCAAGCGCACTAGTGGTGAAAGAGACTAGCGGCTTGGCCCCCTGCCTGCCGCTGACAGGGGCTCGTGAACATTGCGGGACGATGTCGATGGTTGGAGCAGTCGAGCTGGTGCACCTCAACAAATCCCAGGCCAACGCCACTAACTGGCGGGACTCCACGAAACGAGATCGATAGTTCTCTGCCCACGGTCTCACAAACGCAAACATACCCCCGGATACAGCCAAACCCATGCCAAAGACCTTCCCGACCGCGCGAGAAATCAAGCCGTGTTCCTCAACACCACGATAGCGAATCTCCAAAACGCGACCTGCAACTTCTCCCACCCTTCTGCGCCGCCACACCACATCGCCCACAGTCGCGAACCCACGACAAAAACATACATTACCACCCGGCGTAATTGCGACAGGCGCGCAAGATGGTGGGCAAAGTTAGCGACCGCGTCCTCCTTCGGGAAGGTTGGTGTTCCCTAAACAACAAGGCCTGCGCTGCTGGAAGTAGCCGCTGCTAACGGGTGTCTGTCAAGGACTCGAGCGCACCGACAATGGCATGAAGCAGACCAGCTGGCCCGACGTGCCCCCCATCAACCAGAAGAACTACTACACGTAAGGAGTCTAGGTTTGGATGGCGTGGATCCAGAGCGGCTGACAAGGGGCGCCAGGGACTACATGAAGCGCGATGACCAGATCCTCTCCTTCCGACTCCAGAACGAGGCGAACAGAGATCGGCTGGTCCAGAATGCCAAGGACCGCGATCGCGCCATGAACACGGCCAATGCCAATGGCGAAGTTCCGCTTCCGATCGACGACCTCCAGGGGGAAGACGGGCCGGCGCCTTCGACGAGCTTTATGGACCCCTCCAAGATCATCGTAATACACCCGGGAAGCCAGAACCTGCGCGTTGGATTTGCCAGCGACGCCCTCCCGAAGACGATCCCCATGACCCTCGCCACCAAATACCCCCAGACCGAGTCCGAGATGCACGAGGCGCTACCACGGCGGCAGTTCGAGGGCAGGACGATGGACCAGCAGCACGGCGAGGAGTGGTCCAAAAAGTACCAGAAAATGTGCAACGACTTGAAGGTTGACATGCGCGCCAACAAGCGCAAGGTGCTCCCGAACTCGAAGGACCTAGTGGTTAACTTCAACCGGCGGACCGAGCCCGAGATCATCTCCCAGCACAACGACCCTCTGCAGATCGAGTGGACAGACGTCGACGCTCCCCGGGAAACCGAGTCTCCCTCGTCAGTCTTCATTGGGCAACAAGCCCTGCGTGTCCCGGACGACTCGAACCCCAAGTTCAAGCTGTGGTGGCCGATCCAGCACGGCTGGCTGAACGAGGACGACTACCCCACGAGGGCACACCTGTTCAACGACCTCGAGATGCTGCTTGACCGGACATTCCGGTGGGAGCTGGGTCTCAAGCGGAAGGCAGACTGGAAGCAGTACAGCTGCGTCATCATCATCCCGGACCTGTACGACAAGCGGTACGTCGACCTGCTCTTGCACCTCTGCATCGAGCTCTTCGAATTCGGCCGCGTCTCGTTTATCCAGGAGAGCATGGCGGCGACCTTTGGCGCGGGATACACACAGGCCTGTGTGGTGGATGTCGGGGCGCAAAAGACGTCCATCTCCTGCGTGGAAGACGGCCTCTGCATCGAGGATTCGAGGATCAACCTCAAGTTCGGCGGCTTCGACGTCACCGAGACCTTCATGAAGATGATGCTCTACGACAACTTCCCATACCAGGAGATCAACCTTCGCCGGCGGTACGATTTCTTGTTGGCCGAGGAGCTCAAGATCAAGTACTGCACGCTCTCACAGGCAAACATTTCGGTCCAAAACTTTGACTTCCACCTGCGCGCCCCCAACCAGCCAACGCGCAAGTACCAGTTCAAGTTCTACGACGAGGTCATCCTCTCGGCCATGGGCTTTTATGACCCATCAATATTCGACAACTCCACCAAGCTCCAGGGCCGCCGGAAACTGATCGATCGCTCCTATAACGCCTACGACGTCGAAGTTCCCGACGACCCGGGCTCGGCCGCCCAACTCGCCATCCTCGCCCTCACCAAGCCCTCCGTCACACAAACAACGACAACCACTGCCAGCTTTGCTGGAGCACCAGGCGACATGGCGACCCCCAGCAAAGAGCGCACCCAGCCCTTCAACTTCCTCTCCCGCAACGGCGACGCCACCGGCACGCCCGGCACCTCCAAGGCCCCCTCCCCAGCCCCCGACGGCGCCAGCACCCCCGTCCCGGCCCCCTACATCTTCGGCTCCTCCCGCGACCTCAACAACGGCGGCGGCAGCCCCGCCCCGAGCGCCCGCAACGGCGGCGGTACCCCCGCGCCGCCCGCCAACGGCACCTCCCTCCTGCCAGGCACCTCCTTCGACGGCGGCGCCGCCGGCCAATCCCAACCCCCGCCCCAAATCCAACAGCGCAGCCCCAAAGCCATGGCCATCGAGCGCGACTCGGTCCTCCCTCTCGCGCCGCTCGACATCGCCATCATGACGTCGATCCAGAACGCCGCCAAGGGCGACGACAAGAAGGTCCGCGAGCTGCTGGGCAGCATCATGGTGGTCGGCGGCGGCGCCAAGATCCCGCACTTTGCGCCCTTCCTCGAGGAGAAGCTCAAGCTGCGCCGGCCGGATCTGGCGGACCGCATCCTGGTCAGCAGGAGTGCGAGGGAGATGGACGAGCAGGTTGTTGTGTGGAAGGGCGCGAGCGTGTTTGCCAAGTTGTCGACGAATGATTCGTGGATTACGGGGTTTGAGTATAAGATGCTGGGGGGGAGGGTCGTGTATCACAAGGTGCTTTGGCAGTATTAGGTCGGGGGTGGAATGGGAAGGAGGGAGGAGTTTGTGGCGTCTTGTGAGGGTACTTTACTACAGCGCGGATAGGGAATGCATGAGGTTGTTCTCGCTTCGACTCGCTTTCATATTGTACATGGGATGCTTGGCTGTCTGCCTGTCTGTTAGGTATCTAACGAGGACGTGGAAGGTTAAGAATGGGGCTTGCTGACGTCCTTCCTTTCGTTTGAGATGCCCGCAGCTCCTGCCCAGTCCAATCCGAACCTGAAGATTTCTCCTCCGCAACACCACCATTCCGCCTTCCAGCCCTGGAATTTGCTGCAGTTGATCCGGCGGCGGGCTGCCAAAAGGCTGTATTTAAATTGTGTTACATCTCTGCTAGTGTTTTAAAAGAGTTCATCGCAAAGTCTTTCCAATTCATCATCTTTGTTAACCGCTCACTGGAAAACAGTACCCTATTGATGGCAAGGTGGCCGAGTGGTTAAGGCGCTAGATTTAGGCGGTAACGTTCTAATCTCTAGTGGGAAACCGCGCGAGTTCGAATCTCGTCCTTGTCAAGACGTTTTTTGCTGTTTTCTCAGCAACTGCTTCTTCTACCACCCCGATTTCAAAGCGTTTATTTCACGGGCCAAGTCGATCTGCTAAAGATGTAATCGTTACCCTCTTTTTCGTTGTTCTGGTAGGCAAGGAATAACCGTAATGGCAACCTAGAATCATGACAAGGGCCATCTGGCACCGATTAAGCAAGCTACCCGTTGACAAAACTAAAAGTGATGCTCAATTTGAGTCGTTTTAGGTGCAGCAGTAAACTCAGGTGCCCAGGCCTTGGCCTGATTTCGCAGGAACCGCCGTCGTTTGTGCAGGAACGGGCGTCATTGCCGCCTCCGAATTGTGTTGTGCCTTCCACGCTCTTCAAGATACGACATAGGTACCTGCCGAATTGCAACCACGACTCGGGAGATTTGTCCATTTCGGCTTGTCACTGCTTCCATGTACCTCCCAAAACAGTTCGACAACGCCATGGAGCCCCGAGTCCAAGCTGAAGGCGCGCCCCGATGCCAGTGTCCTGGGCCCAGGACAGCAGGGCCAGACATGCATCCCGTCAAGAGAAAGCACGCCGACTTTCCCCGCCGTCAACTCCCATGCCGCCGCCTCTCAGTCTCACAGTCTCCCGTTGTCACCCGTGTATCCATATCGCCGAGCAACGCCAACACCAGTTTCACACGCCCGCATACGCACCAGCAGCGGCTTGCTTCCCATCTCCATCTCCAAGACAGGAAGTGACGGAAGAGACGAGGATCCCCTTCACCGGGTCCGTCAAGAGACAGGCTCCCTGCACCCGTATGGGAGAGTCGCTAACTCCGAGGGTGTTGTCCCAGCAGCTCATCTTCCCAACCCTGCTGACCCGGACCCTGCCTAGTCTCTGGCAACCGAAATCGGCTGGGCCAAGTCGTCACCAGGAAACTCCGGAGAGGCAGCCATCATGGATCAAGACAGTTTCCCCGAAGAGGGAGCGAAGCAGACAGCCGCGACGTTCTCGGCATCCAGTCAAGCAAAGGCAGTCCAGGAGGCCGAAGAGGCCCTAGGGGCTTGGTTTTCCGGGGAAAGGGAGTTGACCGACGAGGAATTCGACAAATACGGCGACGTCATATTCAATTCACTGCCGGCTGACGATCCCTCGTCCGAAACACCCATCGAGGAAGCAAGCCAAGCAGGGTATGCTGGTGGTGCTCACGACGCAACAGAGGATGGGCAACCGAGTGAAGCCAGCAGCACGTCACCACACGCCGCGTCACCAACCGGGACGCCATCCACGGCCACGCCATCCACGGCCACGCCATCCACGGCCACGCCATCGGCAGCTACACCGTCACCTACACCGCCCGACCTTGCCGCGCTGGGTCGAGAGGGCGATCGATACAAAATCGTGCCGATGCCTAGCCTAAACCCGCGCCCTGTCCGACCCAAGTACAGGGTTATTCGAGACCGGCACACCAACGTGCCACTGGCCGTGTACCAGCCAAAGACGGGGTTGATAAACCTGTGGCGGCTCGTGCAGCCCGTGGGTGTTGATAGGAGTCGATTCCAAAAGATACGGTACCGTATCCCGCTTCACGAAAGAGAAGGGAAGCATGGCGGGGCTCTTGTAGCGGGCACTTGGGTCAAGTTTGACGTGGCGTTGAGGGTGGTCGACCAACACAAGCTGCCGCCAGAGTTGAAGGAAGTCGTGCTGCTGGCGCGCGAGGACTGCGATTGTGAGTTGGGTGTGGCCGGTCCCGCACAGCCTGGCGTCGCTGGGAGCTCGAACCAAGCGGCGTGATTCTGGGAAGCATGGGGAGCTGTGAGGGAGAATGAGGAGAAGACAGAATGACATAGCCGAGGTAGCGATCAGAGTAGCTTTGCTTTGAGTTAGCGTTTGGCAAACATCAACTTGGAGAATGTTGCCCTGGTTCCATCACAGAGATCCGTCGTTAACTGGACCTCTTCACGTCCAGACCACAAGTTGCAACATCCTCCTTGTGGAAAGACGGCGGGTCGTACTCGGAGACTGAACCGTAAAGCCGCAGCATCCAGGCCTTTTCGGTGGCCACCAGGGGCATATTCAAGGTCCGCCACAAGCTCCCGGAGCCTCCCCCGAGGACAGGCTGCGATCCCGGCGGGACGGCGCGGGGCATGCGCCGGGAAGACCCACCCACGGGGGAGCTCCGCCCGCCTGGCGGGGTATTCATGTTTCACCAATCAGCTCGATGGTGGGGTCTCGAGGTCCTCCTCAGCTCAGGCTGTCGACACACCGTGACTCTTGGGAGTGTGGTTTTGGAGGCCTGACTTGGCCTGTCTTGTGCAACCTGAGCCAGCCGGCCTCATCTGACCTCAGACTTGCCCAGATCTCGAAGCAGAAACCGTCTCTACATATATGGTGCCCCTTGCGAGCGACGCCCACATCCAGACACCTGCTCGCCCGCTGCTGACCTCTTAGTACGTACAAGCAAGCCCACCTTGAATCAAGTCAGAACACCATGGCGGCCCCAGCGACTGCCAAATCGCACTCGCTGCCAGACGGCAGCCACCAGGCCGGCGGCGGCGTGTCAGGAAAGGCGCACACGGTCAGGATCGTCAACGGCCCCGTCCTCTCTCACCTACAAAAGGTCTACGCAGCCCATGCCGGCAGCGGCACGACCTGGAGCCCCGAGAAGGCGGCGGCCTTCTTGAAGGACATCCAGGGCGACACGGATGCCGAGCGCGCGCTCGAGCTGGCCAGCGGGAAGCCCTGGGACTTCAACTCGTTCCTGCGGTACATGACGTCGTCCATCACGCACGCTGTCGCGCCGCCCCGCGAGGAGGACCTGTCCTGGCCGCTGTCCAGCTACTTCGTCAGCTCCAGCCACAACACGTACCTCACGGGCAACCAGCTGTCGAGCGACTCCAGCGCCGACGCCTACAAGAACGTGCTGCTGCGCGGCTGCCGCTGCATCGAGATCGACGTGTGGGACGGCGACGAGTCCGATGACGAGGGCGACACCAGCAGCAGCAGTAGCAGCGACGACGACGACGGCGAGGCGGCCAAGACCACCACCAAGCGGAAAGGTCTCAGCAAGGTGACGGACAAGCTGCCCAAGTCTCTGACCAGCCGACTGGAGAAGACAAGCCTGGGTAAGAAGCTGGCCACGGTGGCGACCATCAGGAGACTCTCCCGCTCATTGTCGAAAAAAGCAGGCAACACGGCGGCAACCCCGACGACGGCCACGGCTGAAGGAGCACCCATCACCGCCAAGGAGGCCGCCAGCACGAGTAGTCGGCCCACGACGCCGCTGAAAAAGGTCCCCAGCGCGAAGGAGCCGCGAGTGCTGCACGGGTACACGCTGACCAAGGAGGTGTCGTTCCGCGAGGTGTGCGTCGCCATCCGGGACTACGCCTTCGTCGCGACCGACACGCCGCTGATCGCCAGCCTGGAGGTGCACTGCAGCGCAGCGCAGCAAGAGACCATGGTGGCCATCATGCTCGAGACGTGGGGCGAGTTCCTGCTGCCCGCGCCGACAGAGGACGCGACGCACCTCCCCTCGCCGGCCGAGCTGCGCGGCAAGATCCTGGTCAAGGTAAAGTACGCCCCGCCCGAGGGCGGCAGCCCGCTCGGGGCCGACAACGGCGACGAGGCCGACATGCCCGCCGGCGCGGCCAAGAACAAGAAGCCGTCCAAGATCATCCAGGCGCTGAGCAAGCTGGGCATCTACACGCGCGCTCTTCTCGTGCACCTCCATCACGCCGCTCTCCGACAGCGAGAAGATGTGCGTCGGCATGGCCGCCTCGGGCTGCGCC